GTCATTAACTGTAACACCAGCCGTGAGTGAAGGCTGATGTTTGTGTGGGGGGGTAGAGGGGGGGTAGCCCCGGGGTTAGGGTTATTAACCCTTTATTGAAACTTTAATCATCCACTCAGACAGTAAACATGCTGACTCAGCTCTGAAGTGACTCACACGTTTCTATTCTAGATTGTCTGCAGCTTCAGAAACATTCAAGAAAATAAAAGGTTCATATTTAAGATCTCATTCGTATAATTTAGATCACTTAAACACGTTATTAGTTTACATTGTTTTGATGACAATAAATGAACTTTGTAACCCTAACCCTTTGTAACTGATGAGAGGTAACAGATACTGACCCAGTTAATATTAGCTAATGCTAAGCTACACATGGAAAGATACTGACCCAGTTAATATTAGCTAATGCTAAGCTACACATAAAAAGATACTGACCCAGTTAATATTAACTAATGCTAAGCTACACATGGAAAGATACTGACCCAGTTAATATTAGCTAATGCTAAGCTACTCAACTCTGTTATCCGTAATAAAATAAATAAACTCTTAAAACGTGTTACTTTCACTTTCAGACTCATTCAGACTGTAACAGTGACTCACATTCAGTTTGTAGCTTGAAGCTTTTAACTCATGAAGCTCTGACTCACAGAAATACAGTTTATCTAAATACCACAAAGATAAATCACAACTTCATCTGTTCATAAGAGAAACACTAAATAAAACCTGTCAGCACAAAACATTAGAGGGAAACCCAGACTCAAGAGTAAATGAAAATAAGTCTCAAACCTACGATTATTTAACTAAAGTTTATTATTAATTAAATGAGGCTGGTAAAAAACAGACTTGGAGATGTTGAACTGGATGTGCAAAGATAATAATTTCTGGGTCTCAACACTCGATCAACAGACTGACGTTTTTAACAAACTAATATTAGCTTAAGTGCTAAAAAGCTTATGTTAGCCTACCAGCTTCTTAACCGTCACTGTTCTTAAGCTAATGTTAGCTAACTGTCTTTTTAACATTTAGTGCTAAAAAGCTAATGTTAGCTAACTGTTTGAACCCTCTTTACTTCTGTGCATTGATTGGCTGACAGAGAGGACGTCTTTCAACTTTTAAAAGACATTTAGCCACTTATTCCTCATTGCTGCTGGTTCTTGAATATGTATATACAGCCCAAAATATAAACCTGAACCAG